ATAACAAAAAAAAAAAAGGGAGCATAAAAAAAATTGGTGAAAAAAAAACATAAAAAATAATATTTTGAGGAATATAAACAGCATTTGAAATATAAAAAGCAATAAATAAAAAAATAGGCTATTTTTATTAAAACAAAGTTGTCTCCAGTACTTCACCTGTAAAAATATTATATGTCAAATACGAAAGGACAATTAAATTACCGTTCACACCTGGATCTGTTGATTAATGACCATACTACCTACCATAAAAAAGTCGGATTATTCATTTCCGACATGTCCCAGTCCGTTATTTATAGTAATAAGTCTCTACCCGTACTGTACTTACAGCTCTTGCAGGAAAGGGTAACAACCAATTTTATAAGTTTTTTTTATGGGAATAAGAGTCATTGAAAGTATGAGAACTTATCAATTAGCTGCTTGTGTATGTTTTATATTATTATGAAGTGTTATTTGTTCTAATCAAATCTGTACAATTATAGTATCATTTAATCCTGGTGAATATGTTTGTTATGTGTAATTTCATGTTCTGCCTTTTCCTTATTTTGATCTGTTCATTGTTTTTATACGACCACAAAAATTAAAAATATTTTGGTCGTATATTGGTATCACGTTGTCGTTGTCCGGCGTCGTCGTCGTCAGCGTCGTCCAAAGACAGATGGTTTCCGGATAATAACTTTAGTATAAGTAAATAGAAATCAATAAAATTTTAACTCAAGGTTTATAACCACTAAAGGAAGGTTGGGATTGATTTTGGGGGTTATGGTCCCAACTGTTTAGGAATTAGGAGCCAAAAAAGGGGCCCAAATAAGCATTTTTGTAGTTTCCAGACAATAACTTGTGTTAAAGTGTATGAATCTCTCTGAAATTATACCACAAACTTCCATACAACAAAGGTATGGTTAGGATTGACTATGGGGGTTATGGCTCAAACCATTTAGTAACTAGGGGCAAAAAAAGGGGAAAAACAATGGTTTTTCTGGTTAAAGGACAATTGAGACAATTTAAAAGCAGTGTAAGGGAGGTAATCCAATTCAAATTAAAGAACACTGTTTGATTACCTCCCTTACACTGCTTGTAAATTATGTATTAAGAAATGATGATTGTCTTGAGGTGATTAGCTGTCAATTTATTTTTAGCAGTTACTATTAATTAATATTAATTTTAGCCATGACTATGTATGTCATTTTATATTTTAAAACTTTTATGATGTATTTAAATGGGTAATTTTGGTTGCAAACTGCATTAGAAATTTGAATTGAGATACTGACCATTCTTGAGGAAAGAATTTTTTTGGGGAATAAGGGAAAAGGGGGGAGGTGAAAAAAATTGGAGGGGGGGACAATTTTTCTCATTTCCGATTTCAGAAATTAAAAGAAAATTTCTTCAAATATTTGTATTGTAAAATAATTTTTTTTTGTAGGGGGGGGGGTCAATTCGCAACAGCATAGTGTATTGCACAAAAGCAATAAATTGAATATAAATTCAAATCATATAACCAATTTGAAGTTCTTTGACTACAGTTATTCTGTGTCAGAAACCTATTATGTGTCAAAAATTTAAGTTTCAATCCAAATTCAGACCTGTATCAAGCGTGAATATTGTGTCCATTTTGGCCCAACTTTTCAGGGTTGGACATCTGCGGTCGTATCCAGCTGCGCTCAGCGAAGCAATTTATTAAAGTATATATTTGTATACTTATTCATATCTTAACAACATTTCATTAACAATGATTAAGAGTGCTGTTTTGAGCTGACATAATTAAAGATAATTTTTATCCACAGATTGAATTTTATAGAATAAGGAGTAGGTTAATGAAAAATTCTTGTCCTCCAAATCTATGAAAGATTATCAAAAATAATATGATTTAAGATGGAATTTTTTTTTACAAAGCAGTCAAGGATATAACTCTGTAGGGTTATTAGAGAAAAATAACATACATTTGTTATTGAAGACTAAAAAATCAAAGACCTGTGATAACATATGTATGTTACATGTTTCAAAGGGACAATATACATAATTAGGTTTGTTTAAATGTATACAAGTTTTATTGATATTACTGTTGTCTTTAAGTATACTTAACTATAGAAAGATATAGCAGTTCATATTTTGCCAATCATGCATAGTACACCTATGTTATTACAGAAAAAATATGCCTGTAATAACGAAAGGGTGTTATTACAGCTTCTCTTTATCACTCCAAAGCATTTGCTCAGACATACATCATGTTTAATTACAATATATTTTAATTCATTGTAAGAAATAATGATCAGAGCATGTAATGAGGTTCTGCGCAAGCTTCCCATTATTACCCAAGTGCCTCATATAATAAGTTACATGCCTTTAATAACTAAGCCTTGTTATTACAGCTAAGATTATCACTTAAAAGCCTCATCTCATTGATTTACCATGGTTAATGATAAATGTATTAATTCAATTCAAAAATTAGTTATCAAGGCTATGCATTTAGTTTCTGCGCAAAGTTTCAAGAGTTCCCTAGAGTCCACTAAAAATTAAAATGTTGATGATTTATTTTACAAATAACAAACATATGTTATTACAGATTTAGAAAATTTAAGGATTAAAGAGTAGACAACTCATAAAAATATCTGTAATAACACATGTAAGATATTTTCTGTAATAACCCTATAGAGTTAGATCCCTGACTGCCAAGTTAGCTGATATCAACTTTTTATTAGAATTATTCGACAAAATAATCCGATTGAGCATTTTGATAAGTGGTTTCTTTAGACATGCAAAGTGTCAATGATTAATTATCAGCATTAACTTGTATCATTAATCATGTTAACTTAATTCTAGATCTTTGAGTGTTTTAACTGTTTGTTAGCTGGTAAATCATGTATATACTGGTAACACAGTTAGGAGAAAGGGTGGAGCAAAACATTATTTATCATATATTATCAATGTAATTTATACTTTATACTAAAGTTTTCTATTGACATTAACAGTACTATTTGATTTAAAAATAAATACTAATTGAAAAAACAGATTATTCAGGAGCAAAGAGGTCTTAGTACATGTATGTTATATATCACAATAGAAAAGTCCATTTTGAGTGTCTTTTGCAAAACACATCGATTTGGTTATATTTCAAGTGTTTTTTTAATTGCAAACAACAAGCATTTTTGAGAATTAACTAGGTTATTTATCTCATATTCAGTCTAGGTGAAAAAAAACATCTCTTTTATGAATATTTTCATTGTATTCGCATGTGCTTGATGGATCATTGTCTTTTAATGAAAAAAATTCTGCACCCTTAACATTAAAAATATATAGACAAAAAACCTTACATTTGCAAGTATTTATCAATTATTATATTGCAAAATTTATTTGATTTTATTATTCTTTATATACCTATATAAATTTTATATGCCTACTTCATATTGGATCTAAATTATACTTTCCTGAAGTTTCTACAGATTTTGTGTACAATATTTTTACACATGTTGCAGGTACAATACTGTTGTTGACTTTATAAAATATTTTGATACATTGTTACTTATGTAATTTATAAATATTACAATGTACTCTATGTCATTGAAGAGATGAGTACAAATATGAGTATTAAATTAAAGAAAATTGTACAACTCAGTTTGTTATTACCAGATTGTCTGAAATTGTTATAAGGAGCACTTACTATGCATTCTTTGTCTACCCATGTTTGATTTAACTTGCCAGAAATATTCTTTTGACTGATAAAAACTTTGAGAAATTATTAATATGGCAATCATCAACAAAATCTGATCAAAGTAAACATGTCAAACAACAATCCACAAAACACTCAACAGAAAACTACACATTAGCACTGCACACTTCACCAGTGGCTTTTTGCACTTTAACAAATTGTATAACTGAAGTATTACATTATATAGATGTTTCATAAGATTCTGTTATTTTGATTTACAGAAAAAAGTCTTGAATCATTCCAAAATTATGTTTTATTTCCCAATAGAAAAGCAAACTCAAACCTTATTCATAATTTCATATAACATTAGATGTAACTACCCCCTGCTTTGATGGAGAGGTGTATACTGTTCTACCTGTGACTGTAAGTCCTTCCATATGTCCATCTGTATGTTTGTCTCTCCCATGAAATTCTGAAGCATTTCCCCCAGGAACTACATACTAATCAGAGCTTCCTGAAATTAGTTATCAGTCTTCATGTGAACATGTTATACTGTGTAATGCAGTTTCAGATTCTTCGATCCTCAATTTCCTGTTTACTGAATACTTATGTATTTTAACACATAATGGTTATGTATGAAATTTCATCACATTTGTCGAGGGAACAACAAATAAGAGCTTTCTGAAGTTTGTATCAGGTATCATGTGAACATGCCTAACCCTGTGATCCATTTTCAGATTCATTGTTTATCAACTTCCTGTTTATCAATTATTTAACTATTCTAACACAACATGTTTATCTATGAAATTTTTGTCACATTTGTTCTAGGGAACTTCAAATAAGAACTTTCAGAAATATTTAGTTTTCAGGCTTCATGTAAAAATGCTTTACTGTGTGATAAGTTTTCAATTTTATTACTCATCTACTTCCTGTTTACAGAATTCTTAAAGTGAGGGTATTTTTAGTGAGCAGTAGCTCAATTTAACTCGTTATTAAAAACTACTAGTTTTTACTTCTCTTAATTTTCCTTGGAGTTCGGTATTTTTGTTATATTACTTTTTTGTATTTTTAAAGGGTTTTCAAAGAATTGAATGTGTAATCTTGAAGTGTGGAGTGCTTCCACCTTTCATACAAAATGTGCTTCCCTTCAAGCTTTTTATCACCCTAATAAATGACAAATACAAACATTCAATTCATAAATGATTACTAAATCAGCCCTACTATATTTTTTTTCAGTTATCGTGTTCAACTCCAGATTTCAAATATTTTCAAGTTTAAGGGTTCTTTTACATGAATAGAGCATTAGATTTTAGTATGAAGAAATAGAAATGTATTAAAATGTGATGTAGACCTTAGGAAAAGTCAATGACATCTAGCAAATTGTTTACTTGTTTACTGCATTTTAGTCTTGGCATTTGAAATTGAACTATATGGTATCTTTCATTTAAAGTCTTAAGAGCTATTTTCCAAATGCTTGTAGTTTAAAGGTTTGACATCTGCAATCAATAGTGTCACAGGGTGACTTTGTTTACTCACATATATGTTGTTATTTTGGTTGTTAATTCTATTTCGATTTGCAGAACGTCAGTATCTTATAAATGCTATATTCTGCAGACTTCGGTGTATAATACATGTCCACATTTTACATCTAATTAATTAAGTAGTGTCCACTATTTACTTGGGCATTTACCTGTAAACTTGTCGAACGGGTTGAGTAACAGTGATACCTGTATTTGATGAGCTGACTATTCACTCTCAGGTAACGAGTCAAGGTGTGGTCAGAAATGTTTGTATAAAGTTAGTTTACAATGTGGCGTGGACACACACACTGGATTTCTGAGGTAGGATTCAATTTATTCTTATTTATTTAATCATTATTCGTTCTAAAGTGTTCAGTTTTCTGCAACAACGCAAATATAGAATAATTATTTCAATTGTAATTGTAATTTTTGACATTGCTATTTTATAAATGTAATAAGTTAATTAATGTTCATTATAATGAAAGTTTAACACGGTTATATGTTTCCGGCTGCAGTAAATATTCGAGTATCGAAAATGTTTGGTATTTTAGGAACGTTTGCGTACGATAATGCAATGATGTATGTATCTCCATAAGTATGTAAAGTAATATGCAACGTATAAGCATAAATGTATATTCAGCGTTAAAAGCTGTATATTGTGTGTAGTAATTGTATAATGATAGTATACAATAAAGTCAATTATGTGACTTGTAAAGTAAGGCATTGTACGATATGCCGTAGTTTGTATTGTGTAAAGTAAGGCATTATACGATATGCCGTAATTATTTGTGTATAAGTAATGCATTATTCAATATGCTATAATCTTCTATAGATTGAACATAAGTAGTCGTACTAAGTATTTGTCATTATTTATGCGACATGTGTAATACATAAACATATGTATATTTCTTAAGTATAGTATTGTATCTTAACGTACAGTATGTATTTCAATAGGTCCCAGTTTGCGGGCTAGGTGTATGTAGTTTTGTATAGTAAAGTATGGAGATATAGTACAGATGGTGGTGAAACCTGTTGACAGTGCGGCGTTCCGTGTTTATCATCAATAGTTTGGCAACATAGAATATTTGGAGTCGAGTCTAGACAATAGGGCAGCCGTAATGTGTACACCGCTTATGTTGGGCCAGTTTTGTGTAGTTACCGAAAACCAAATACGTAAAATTCCGTAGTATCGTTTATCCAGATTTCATAGTTTAATATAAAGAAGAAGGAACAGTTCATTAAACATTTGACAGTATTATTTCATTTGATTTCATCTATTTATATTTGTAAATTTGTACCTAATTAAATTGTTATTTTGTTTAAAGTAGTAGTCATTTATTATCTGTAAGTACAAACTCCTAAGTCAGCTCTCGTCTATCCGTGACAAATAGCACTACTGGACGAAAAAACAACTGTCCATACCAGTAACAGTTGTTCTAAGACTGATAATGTTTGTTAAAGTTGTAACAGTTGTTAAATTTCACTGCTGCAGTTATTTTGTAACTGTCCCAACTTTAAAAGTGTTTGTCTATAACATAAATCGACTGCAACAACGCTAGAAATAACTGTCACAGTCATTAAAGGACTGATACAACTATTTCAAAGTTGTAACAGTTGATTTACAACTGTCCCAACTCGAAAAACGTTGCAACAGTCATAAAAAAACTGATTAAACGCCCAAAAGGTTGTCACAGTCATAATAAGACTGCTGCAACCATTTGAAAGTTGTAACAGTTATTTAATAACTGTCCCAACACGGAAAACGTTGAAACAGTCATAAATAAACTGTTTAAACGCTGAAAAGGTTGTAACAGTAAAAATATGATTGCTACAACCATTACATAGTCATAGCTAATTTATAAGTGTAGCAACTTCCAAACATTGATCGTCATTAAAACTTAAAAGTCACGGATACAAAATTTCTGACAGTCAGGGATAGGTTAAATTATTTGTAAAACAATTTTACCGTGTGCAATATAAGGTTGTGACAAAGAGACACAACTATCACACCTATTTAATACATTAATTTTAGATAGAAATTGATTTAAAAAAAATAGTATTTTGAAATATTTGCCGCTGAACATTTTGGTATTCCCCGCTTATTTAGTGAATGTGCTAAATTTTATTAATTATTTAACACTCCCTCGCCTCTCATCTCATCGAACAAAATCGGAACCAGCACTAGATACCTGCAATTTCACACAGGACGGTTTTATTCGCATTTAAAACTATTTACAGATAAATCGAAAAAGGTTACCCAATATATTTGTAACCAAATGTATCTTTAACTGTATTAACAGTTGACAATTTTCAATATTATCTAAATAAAAACTTTTTAATTTTTTTAAATTAGTTAGGTGTGAAATCATTCATGCATACAAGGTTGTCTTCAATACCCGTAGTTTTACGAATCACATTACTTCATAATAACGGTCAATATACATGATATACTGTAAACCTAGTGGGGAACTCCGAATATACACACTTGTCAAACTTATCCCCATATTAAACTGCTTAATTTTTTCCCGAGGGCTTATTTCACACACTTATTTTGAGCTTTTATTTGGGGCTACATTTTTTTTCTTGCAAAATTATAAACATTGCCGTATTAACCATTTTGATTTCTATACATATAAAAAAAAAATCAAAGCTATGATGAACATTTAACGCATTTTTTGCAGCTATGAAAAAACAAAAATACTCTTAAATCTATCTAAATTTAATTTATTTTACTGTATTTTATTTTTGAATACTTCAATATTGACTCGACTTTGTACTGTATATTGTAACGAGTTGTCTATTTGAAGTTCAAATGTCCTTGATAAATAGCACTTCGGCATTCATTCATGATTTATTGAGGTAAAAATTTATCACTCGAGATCATTCATATTTTCACCGGATTTTTCTCAACCAATTTACCAAAAGTATTTATAAATAGATGGACGTACTGTACAAGACCGACAAAATAACTAGAGCCAGTGAAAGTTGAAATGTTCAAAACAAGAAAACTCGCATTGTTTCAGACAAGGAAATCAAATATTCTTTTATTTATTCACATAACGGTTTAGAACGTGTTGTATTCTTTAGACTCCTGTCTTGTTAAATTCTACAGACTGACATCAGATTCCCTTTATGGTTTCAGTTGATCAGATGTCGTACTAACCATGCTAATGTTTATCCAAAATATTTTCCAATTTCCATTTTTTAAATTCAATTAATTTAATCATATAAATGCTTGTCCAATATTGATATATTATTCAACCAGTAAAGAAAACAAACAATTTTACTAGATGTAATGGAAATTTTAAAATGGTCACATTTATAAATTAGGCAAATGGGTCCATTATTCTAATTATATTCATCTTCATGATCAATCAGTGATGAAAACAGTACATATGTATTGCAATTACCAGCAGAAGTTATTTGGGCGCCCCTTAGAAAAAAAAATCAATGATTAATTAAATCATACATTTTTTTTTTTGACTCACTTTAAAAGAAGGATGGACTGAAAATAAGTATTCTGGCCCTGGTCTGAGTGAAAATATTTAATCTGGCTGCCTATATGTTGGAAATTATTATTCTGAACTTATCAAATTTGCCAATTCAGTTGCTAACTTCTATGTCATTGGGTTTTTGGTGAAAAATTGTCTAATTTGTAAACAAGTACGACATCATTTTATTTATTTAATAATGATCTTATAAAAAAAAATGCAGTTCTATTTTACATTGTTGTGTCGATATTTTGAGCAATTATGATTTCAGCCGTGTATCACCATCAATGATCACTTGTTCTCCAATGGATGAATCTGTCGTAAAGTTTTCACGTGTTAAGACGTATAGATATATGTTGACCTCTAGCTTGTTATTTAGTTGTTGTTGGGTTGATGTCATATAGTAGCAGTTTACTCAATTTCACCAGTTTATTATCATATGTTTTAGTCTATTTGTCATGTTTGTATGACATAGGCTTTTCACACCATGCTATATATATATATGTATCGATACATTAATTCTAATTGTACAGCAACAAAAAAAATGTCCAATTCTCATCCCTTTCTTGAAACCACTTTTTGTAAATTTTTTTTTTCATTACAGGTTGGTTTTTTTCTTTTGCTAGAAGTTTTTAAAATCATAGCAAATTAAAATTAAGGGCAGAAGCCTGTTAATATTGGATCACCTATAAGTCTTTGGTAAACCATAATACATTTGTCATCACTCATGTTTCAATGGGTCTGTAAACATGATAAATTCTAAACATGCTTAACTGTAATTTTGAGTCCCTATATAGCTTGCTGTTCGGTGTGAGCCAAGGCTCTGTGTTGAAGACTGTACTTTGACCTATAATGGTTTACTTTTTCAAAATTTTTGACTTGGATGGATAGGTGTCTCATTGGCAATCATACCACATCTTCTTATATCTATTAACATGATTAACTCAATTTTATCGCCAACTGATTGTTTGTTGCTTTTGTATATAAATCAAACTTGGGTTTCTCGTCTAAACTTGTTTACATTGTGTTACATGTACATCATCCAATATGGCAAGGCCTGCTATAGGTTTTTCATTATCATGATAGGTGGTACTGATTTTGCTCATTGTTGAAGGATGTGCAGTTACTAACAATTACATCACTTGGTCTACGGTTGATGGTTGTCTCATTGAAAATCATACCACATCTCCTTATTCTGGTTATTGTATATTCATGACATTATACATGTTATACAAGACTACAATATTATCAAATGAAATATAACAATTGTTAATAGTTGTCCGACTTTTGACAAAAAGCAGCTATAATCAACATGGTAGACATGATCAATGGTGATGTAACAAGAGTGACTGTGCACACGCTGAAATGTCATATCTGCTTTGCCTACATGTAAAATTGAATTTATGTTGAATGTAAAAAATTTAATACATGTATGAAGGTTTTACTACATGTACAAGTATCACATAAACTTTCCATTATCAACGTAAATTTTGTTTTACACTGAGTTGCTACCGTGACGCTAAAATATTTGTCGACTGCAACAACCTATGAAATGTTTGTTTTAAACATTTAACGACTGTAGCAACCTTTTAAAATTTGTAATAAACATTTAATGACTGTAACAGCCTTTAAAAAGTTGTAACAAACATTTTACAACTGTCCAAACTCTAGAAACGTTGTAACAAACATTTTTTGACTGCATCAACGTCTGAAAAGTTGACACAAACAAATTTCAACTGTCCCAACTATTAAAAGGTTGGGACAAACATTATACAACTGCCACAACTTTTGGAAAGACTGTAATAAATAGTATTTGACTGTGACAACCCCGTAAACCACTGCAACAGTCCTTAAATGACTGTTGATAACATTTTTTGATTTTCACAACCCATAAAAGTGTTGGGACAGACATTAATCAACTGTATCAGTTTCTTTGACAGTCATCTTCAGTCTTCCACAGACTAAGACAGTCGTACAACGACTGTTACTGGTATGGACAGTTGTTTTTTCGTCCAGTAGTGTAGATAGGTGGTGCTTCAGCTCGTATACATTATACTTAAATATTATTGGATGTTAAGTATAATGCAGAGTATAATGTATACAAACTGAAGCCCCACCTAATCTATTGATTGCAGATGTCAATCTTATTTACAATGCTTGAGCAAACACTTATGGAAACAAAGCAAGCAAAGCTAGTAAGTCAACCAAACCTTTAAACTACAAGCATTAGGAAAATAGCTCTAACAAATGTCTCTATCTGTTGATACATGGTTTTGTCATCGTTAAGTAATTTTGATAATTTTGCCCTGAATTTTGACATTGAATGTTGAATACAATCTGTACCTTGTGATTAGTGCAAATGTTATTTTCTATCTACCACCTATATATAAATGAGTAGATGTGGTATGATTGTCAATGAAATAATTATGCACTGGAGACAAATAGGATGTAAGCAACAATTGTGCACTGTACAGCCTTAAAACAATGAGTAAAACTCTAGTGTATAGTAAAATTGCTATGTAACCAGTTCGAGATTTACAGATGAGCAGTGCCTTTGACATGTACCTTTTGTATCAAGCTTTATATGTCAAGAGATAAACTTAGATAGTGTTGCAGTAGCATGCTTGCCTGGAGTGGAAGAGGTCATGAACCTAAACCTGACAAAAGCCTTTCAATTTGTATCTGCTGCCTCTCCATAAAGGAGTGAAACATATCGGTTGGCTCAGAATGAAAATAGTGAGCCTAAGTAGGCGGATTTTCTCCCAGTGGACTGTTACTTTGTGAGTTAGCACGTAAAAATACATCCTAGTTGTCAGTGTATTATAAATCAGGG